CAGGTAGAGCAACTGAGGCATAGTCATTGATTTCTCTTTTGTACACAAAAGAGAAAAATATAATTCTAAAGCCTTTTTAGCTGTGGTCTTTATCTTATGAAATTCAAATTCAAATGCTAAAAAGTTAATGTGAATTCTTTACCCATCATCAAATGGCGTGAAAGACCTGCGATTATATTTACAGGATGTATATTAAACTTTCAAGGTCCAGGTGTCTCAAAAAGTGCTTGTACAAAACAGACTTCAAGTATAATTTTATCACCATTAAATACAGAACATGATTAGATTATAGTAAAAGTTTTCCTGTCTCTCTAGCTTTATCTCTAAAATTTATTCATCTTAGCTGTCCAGAGTTCCTTTTGTTACTTGAGCTGCTAATTGAAGATGATTTCCAAAGCCTAAGGTGAGATTTCATTTGTTAAAACTGAATTAGAAAGAGCAGGACCTAATCACTTGATTGCAACACAGACAACTAGATTTTGGAAAGGGAATATGGGATTATAACATTCTTCTATACAGGTGTTCCTAATGTATACCTGATCTGAAATTTAAAATTCCTATTATTTAAAGCCAGGCCAAAAGCCATGTCAGAATCTTCCTGTGATCTCACCTCTCCTCATCCTGGTGACTGTTGTCTCCTTATTGTAGCATTCAGCCTGCACTTTGCCATTTTGTATCTGACAGGCTGCTTTATATAATGGTACAAACCACAGTTACTTTTTCACCAACCTAATAAAATGTTCTCTTGTCATTTCATTATGTGTTGTCTCCCAAGCAGCTTAAACAAGAATGCCTTCTGCAGGTAGTTCAGGTGCTATGTCATAATTCTTCGGTGAACCACCTTACATACTCCTGTGAAGTGCCTGTGACCTCTCATCTAATATATGTAGGAGAAGATATATACCAGGGTAAAGGGACATTATTAGACTTTCACTCCTTTACTGCAAGGCTTGATAATTTCAATTGAATTGTCCTGAGTGCCATGGTTAGAGAAAGGAACCTGTCTTATTACTTCTGCTGGAGGAGGACACTTTTAATGAAAGAAAAACATGATAGATGCAATTCAGCGGTTTTAGGAAGCAGTGTTGATGATAATCCAGGAAATGGGACATTCATATTAATATAATTTCTAGATTAGCTTCAAACTCCATGAATCAAGGTAGAGAGGATTTTGGTACAACAAAGATCTTATTTTTTTTTTTTTTGAGACCGAGTCTTGTGTCACCCAGGCTGGAGTACAGTGGTGTGATCTCTGCTCACTGCAGCCTTGGTCTCCCGGGTTCAAGTGATTCTCCTACCTCAGCCTCCTGAGTAGCTGGGACTACAGGTGCCCACCATGATGCCCGGCTAATTTTTGTATTTTTAGTAGAGATGGGGTTTCATCGTGTTGGCCAAGCTGGTCTTGAACTCCTGACCTCCTATGATCTACCCACCTCAGCCTCCCAAAGTGCTGGGATTACAGGTGTGAGCCACCGTGCCCAGCCCTGGTCTTACATGTTTATAGTCCCAACTAGATAACATTATTTTCCCGTAACATTTCTTCTCAAAAATAGATGTACTTGACTGTTCTTTTCTTGATTCTTCTGGGAAATAACTATCTCTTTGGAGACAGTTGTTAGGTTATAACAATAACCTTACTGAGGAACTCCCATGCAATCCTCCAAAAATTTTAATTTCCTGATTTCAAGAACTTTATTTAACAAAGTTGTTTTTAGGGTTGAACCCTCTAGGAGCAAATGACGTATTTCGCCTTTTGTAAATGGAGAACCAGTCAATAGTTGGCAGGTTCGTGTTTGACACTGGCTAACGCTGGGCTTACTACTCTAAGAGCATGGTACTTCTTGGAAAGTAAAGAGAATTGTTTATCAGATATTAGGAACCGTACACAGGCCTGCTCAAAATGGCAGCTTTACAGCCACCTTTAGGGCTCTTCCTGATGGAATATACCAGTGGGAGAGTACAGAAGGAAGAATGCAATTTGTATGAATACAAGTAAAATTAAGGTTGAGTATATTTTCAGATCTTGCCCAATGCATTCATTCTACTTGCTTCTTTTTCAGTTCTTATTTGGAACTGGCCGGCACCTTCACAAATCTTTGGGTATTTGTAATTTTAGCAGCCTCTATTTGGCAGTGTTTTCCAGAGCAGTACCTTTTAAACTTTTTCACTATAGTCCACAGTAAGGAATATATTTTACATAATCACCTAATATATGAAATGTGTATCCGATATTTTCCATTCTAATTTTTTCATTAAAAAAATGCTGGATATGACTCATTAAGTAACATCTCATTAATGGGTCAAAACACATAGTATAAAGAGGGCATAGATTCGGGTATTGCTACATATATCTATGATATTTTCACTTCTCACTGTTTCCTCCTTCTCTAGGTCTAGCAGCTCAGGATACTGTTTCTTATTTGGCAGGGACCATTAGTTTCAACTTCTGCTTTAAAATCTGGAGGGTACCTAAAGTGCTCTTCAATGCTGTTATGGTCCTACTGACTAAGTACTTACTTTTAGTAGAGACAGTTTTCTGTCTGGAATCCTCACTTCTACCTTTCATTGCCCAGATTTCATACTAAAGTACAAAGAGGAAACTGTTTTAAAAAATTTTTGAAATGATAGCCAGCTGCTACTTAAAGGAAATAACTGAGTGGGACTTCTACTCTTTCTGAAAATGTAGCTGGCTAAATTGCTTCAATTTAAACGGTACAGACTATGTTACCATTCACTTACTAAAATGGAACATGAGAAGTAGAAACATGCTTTCAAACATATTTAGAAATACAGAAGTTTCTTAAGTCAGGTCGTATTTATTGAAAGCACAATACAAAATATCTTGGAATTCAGATTATCTATTATGATGTTTATTCCTGAACAGGTTAGTCCTAAAGAAAAGGGTAATTGTTTCAAGGGAGGTAACAGAGGAATTTTAAGTAAGGATTATCTTAAATATATCTAGTTTGATGCAAACTGAGTTTTATTCAACGTCGGAGGCCTCACTATGTTCCTCTAAGTTTTCAACCATTAACAACCCAAACCGGTTGCTTCCCTCATACCAACACTTGCTGTGTGCAGTGGTTCTCCCTCTGTTCTTAGAACAGCTGGTATCCTGTTTCTTCTGCCTTTTTTTTTTCGAATTTGATTTACCTTTTGGTAGGAATATTTCAGCGGGGGCATATGATCTTGTGGCATTGAATAGATGTTCATAAAGTTGCTTAGCCTCAGGACACATGCTCAAGAGACTTTCTACAGAGGTCGTTGCTAGCAGTTGTTGGCATAGTCCGTGCACCAGGCTTCCACTGTACAATCTGTTCAAAGGGAGAAAAAAAGTATGTTGTTAAAGAACTAATTCAGTGCAACAGGATAACTATCATTAACATACCTTCAACAGATGCATCTAAACAATCAGAGCTCTTACTGCTCTGTAATATTATTGAAATTACTTAGGAATAATCTGTTCTTTGAAGAAAGGAACTGAGCTGTTATGACAAAGATTCTAAATTACATGATGAATGCGTAGTGGTTTTGCAGCTAGCCCCAGGCTGAGCAGGAATCTTTAACACTTTAAAGAAAAGGAATTTAAAAGGACCCCGATAAACCAAACAGTTCCTTAGAATATGAGAAAATTTAATGGCATCATTTGCAAGGTCATTCACTGGGACTAAAAACCTAATTCACAACAAGATGGGATTAATTGGAATCCACAAGTTTAATATATTACTTACGGACAAAGCTGATAAGGCTGGTACTTTATCAATGATGGTTTAGAACCATTGTTTAATCAGTGTAAAATTCTCTGTAAAAAGCTTTGGTTATGCTGAGGTTCAAGAACAGTCCTGCTGTTTAAATCATTATTAAGAGAGCTGTTTGGTTTTGTGTTTCCTGTTTTGTTTTAAAAGGATTTGCAGTAACTAAAGAGGATCCATTCAAGAATGACCTTAAATTATTAAACAAAAGAAGTAAAGAATCCACAGGTCAAAGGCCAATTAGTATTATTTGGGTTAGCTCAGATATAAGGCCCAGAGATATATTAACAATAGTGTTTACTGCCGGAGGCTTTTTACCTTGAAACATATGAAGTCCCACCATATTTTGTATGCCTCCATATATCCTCATTCAAAGTACTAAAGGCATTGGGGCTACAACAGTAAATAAAATAGACAAGGCTCTGCCCCATAGAGTTTATATCTGAGTGGAGAGAGACAAAACATTATCTCCTTTTTATTTTAATCTCCCTCTGGAACCTCCCGGATGGGCAGTTATCAAGATGTCCAATCCATTGATCCTATCAACTCTTCTCACTGCTCCACACCCTACTGCTGCTGTCATTTCTTTTTATCATACCCAGCTTAAACTCCACAGACAAACATTATAATTACTAGTGGCACAAAGGTTCAATTTCCTTACTGTCTTTCTTGCCTGGCAAAGCAAACATTCTGTGTTAAGTTCACTTGGGCATCTACTCAGCATCTCACTTAGAATGAAAGCTCCATTAGGGCAAAGATTTTGTTGTTGTCCCTACATGCTAGCACAGGGTAGGCATTTAATAAATATGTGAATGAATGAGTAAGCAATATGACAGGTGATAAGAAATGATGTTACAAAATACAGTAACAGGACTAGAGTGAAGAAGGGTAGACAGTATGTCTCACTAGGGTGGGTTATCAGAAAAAGGCTCTACAATGTGACATTTAAAGACCTAGAGGAAAGGAGTGAGTTATATCCTACCAACAATTACCTCCCTTCCCCCACATATTAATGTTTTACTTAAAGGAACTGATTTTTAAAAATTGGATTGAATTTTGGGAATATGGAAATAATTTAATATTTTTCCTGGTTCCAGCTCTTCAGCTGTAACAGTGACTCAAAATCAATTACACTAAGATTAGTTTTTTTAAAGTAACTTTGTTGCTTTAAATATAAGTGAAAGTACTGTATTTACTTTTCTGTGCTTCCATCTGAACTAAAGTTTCCCATGGTGCTTACCGAGTTAGGTCTGGCTCTGGCAGAGGAGTGGACAGCAGCTGGTTGAGATACAGCCCCATCTGGAGACAGGACTGCCACTGACAGAAGACGTGAGCTGTGTCTAAGTCCAGTCTTGTGCCCAGCCGTGTCTGCGCCTTCACTCTCTGGAACTCTTCATACAACATCTTAGCACCATCCTCCTGCAGCTCTTCCTTACCTAAAGAAAGAAAGAACCCAAGGGCAGTGTTTCCAAAAGCACTGTAACAGCTTGTAATTTTCTCCACATATACTACAAATTCCATAAAGAAATCAATTTAAAAAACTAAGATGTTTTTCCTTTCTGGCTTCATAAATGCCTTGCTGTATAAATTGAAATACTGATACTGAACTGTCTTTTTAATGATGACCTAACTTTATTCAACTCACGAGAATTTACTTTTTCCCTGAAATAAGATCTCTTCCACCTGACATAAACATGTCTGCATCTGAACTGTCTAAACCCTACATCTGTGTCTATGAAAAATACAAATGACTATTAAATTTCATTCTCTTTACTGTTGCTCTTTCAACAAAACTCCCATGCTGTAGTGCATTTGTGTTAAAGAAACAACCCGTGTGTTCAAAGCACATTTTGACCTCTATGTTTTATGGGAGAATTTGGCAAATAATCAGCCTCTTTTCATAGCAGAAGATAAGGGGCAAGAAGCAACGATCCTAGGAAATAAGGAATGTTGCTTGTGTTTAGCTGTAAGTTTCTACTAGTTTGTTTGGGCAGCAGTGCACAAAGTAACATCTGGACCTATTTGAAAGCAATAAAAAGAAGGCCCACCTTTTACCAACTAGCGAGCAGCAAGGCACTGAGCCTGCCCAGGTACAGGGTCCACGTTTCCTAAAAGAAAAGAAACAGACCCTTGACATGCCCCTGCTGTTGGACTCGAGTAAAATCTTAGTAGGCTTGTGCTCTGAGAGCGTTCTTATACTGTATTTATTATTCAATCAGTGGAAATACCCTAAACCTGTGTTCATAAAGCAGCAGTGGCCCATAACTGATTGGTTTTGTGTTAAGTTGGCTGTTGTGTGCCAACAGTCCTTCTGACAGCTGCTGTCAAGCTTGAGCCTTAATACTTGGGAAACAGGAGTCCATGCTGTTTCATTCTTTAACTTATTCTTGTAAAATACGAAACTACAGAGTAGCATTATCTAATAAAACTTTCTGCAGTGCTGTCTAATACAGTAGGATAGCCCATAGCCATATGTGACTACCTGACACTTGAAGTGTGGCTAGTGTGACTGAGAAGCTGAATTTTTAATTTAAATGGAATTTAACTTGAGCCATGTGTGGCTAGTGGCTACCATATTAGATAGTATAGCAGTATTCTAGAGTATAATTATTATACATGTTTGTATAGTATTATAGCATTTATAATCTTTAAAGAGGATATTCCATTAGAGTATTAAAGTGTCCCAGTGCTTCAGCATTTACTTCACCTGGTATTATATGCAGATGAACTTGCCTCAGTGTATTTCTCTAGTAGGAAGAGAAATTACTGGCCAGGTGCGGAGGCTCACCCCTGTAATCCCAGCACTTTGGGAGGCTGAGGTGGGTGGATCACGAGGTTAGGAGTTCAAGACCAGCCTGACCAAGATGGAGAAACCCCATCTCTACTAAAAATACAAAAATTAGCCGGGTGTGGTGGCAGGCATCTGTAATCTCAGCTACTCGGGAGGCTGAGGCAGGAGAATCGCTTGAACCCAAGTGGCAGAGGTTGCAATGAGCCGAGATTACACCACTGCACTTCAGCTTGGACAACAGAATGAGGCTCTGTCTCGAAAAAAAGAGAGAAATTCCTATCTCTGCCATCACTACTTATATACTAATTGAAACTTAGAGAAAAAGGAACAAAAAGATGTATAAGCAAGAATGTCTGCAGTGGTTGTAGGTATTTAGAAGTTTCACTTCTGGGCAAGATTCTTGTGATGACATTGCTGCTGTGCTAATAATGGGATAGGGAACATGCAGTACAAAATGCAACTGGCAAAATACACTGTCACACGTCACAAGTTAAAGCAGTAGGTGCCACAAAACAGATGGGAGCTGACGGTATCCCAACACATCTCACTGCTGCACACTTAGATTCCAGCCCTCCAGCACTGAGCCTGGCACATAAAATGTTAAAAAAATATTTACCAATGAATGAATGCTATATTGGTACCTCCACTTCTAAGTTCTGATATAATTAATGGAAGTAAATAATCCAATAATCCTTTTTTGTTTGTGTAAACTCTTGGGTAAACAGTTTGCAAGCAACATGCAACAATAATATTCCTGGAATTTCCAGTTACCTACCAGGGCTGTTGATTATGGTAATCAAGGGCCCCACTAGCATTGCCAGCAGTAAGGATTGTAGATGATGTAGCTTTGCTTTGCTTTCCGTGTGCTGCAGCCAGTAGCAACTGACAGCAATGGGCAACTTCAGTGCAGCAGGGATTGGCTCCAGGATGGTCTGTTTCACCTTCAGGGTTTCTAACAGAAGCATCTGCCGCCTCCTCAAGGAGAGCTGAAAATACACACCAAGCATTCTGCAAGTTACTTTGGGAAATGTCCTTTTCTTTTCCTCCATAGCATGAAGAGATTTAATGCAGATGAAACTTCTGTGTCAGCTGTTAAAACTTATCTTGTCGGGGGAAAGAAAAATCAGCCACACTCAAAACATTTAGAACATTACTAAGATGCTTTATAAACATGGTTGGTTGAATGGGTGTACTGCCTACTCCTACACAACCTTTACTTACGTCATTCCATCCTCTTTGTATACACTGCTGAGCATCTTCAGTGCACGTGTCACCTGGGAAGCTTGTTAAAAATTCAGTCCTCAGGCTCTACTCCATAAATTTTGATTCACTAATCTGAGGGAGAGCCCAGGAATATGCATTTTAACTAACAGCCCCAGAAAGGACCTTACAGGTCATGCACTCAGGACTATTAAAAGGGCATCTTCTGGGGGACTTTATAATCAAACTTTGAGAAAAAAAAAGTTGTATTTCTGGTGTCTGCACACAGCCAGAAACTGCTTTCTGGAAAGATGAGATGATGGTACATTTCTCAGCATGTAACATCTAATTAGTAGAAAGTGTGGTTGACAGCTGAGACTAGAGATGCTAACGTGAAACAAAACATATCATAAATGACAAAATAGTTTTATCATAACGCATGAAAACTTTAGTATGATTACTTCTAAATACTGCTTTTAGTAATATTGTGATAAAAATTTTAAAATTAGAAATATGCAAAGTGCTTTGTAGTATAACCAGTCACCCCTACTGGAAGTAGTTTTAACTACTAAAAATAGAAACTGAATTCTCGGAGTCTCGCTGTGTCACCCAGGCTGGAGTACATAGGTGTGATCCTGGCTCACTGCAACCTCCCCCTACCAGGTTCAAACGATTTTCCTGCCTCAGCCTCCTGAGTAGCTGAGATTTCAGGCATTTGCCACCACACCTGGCTAATTTTTGTATTTTTAGTAGAGCTGGGGTTTCACCATGTTGGTCAGGCTGGTCTCAAACTCCTGACCTCATGATCCACCTGCCTCAGCCTCCCAAAGTGCTGTGATTACAGGCGTGAGCCATCGCGCCCAGCCCGGAAACTGAACTCTTAAACTGGTTTTTAAAATGCACTAAGTAGAGCTAAGAAAATACACCAATTCTTTTTTGATATATAATATTTAAATTACTGAATTATAGAGCCAAGTTACAACTTTTTATAACCAACACAGCCTGGGCTTTGACTTCAGAGATGTTCTGCCCTGCGCTAACCCCATAGTCTTGGTTGAAAGGTTTCCAACCTTTTCTACAGTCTTATCTGTAAAATGGTCATTATGATGACTTGCACAAGATGTTTCATCTAGCCCACCAGTTCTCAGTCCCTTCCAAAAGGGGAAGTACTCAATTCATAGCCCTTAAAGTTAGTTAGGTTTTATCCCATGTGACAACTGCTTTCCTTCTTCCCCAGAGGGAGCGAAAGCACAAGCCTGCAGAAGCAGCTGCCCAGAGAGGCAGAGATGCGCAGAGAGACTGGTCTTGGCTGCCTCACTCCCTAAGAATGTTCCACTTCTGTGTCTCCTTACGATTATCTTCCTATTGGTTAACTTGAGTGGTGCTCTGTCCGTTGCCATAACCAAAATGAAACCCTATCCTATGTGGTTATTGTGGGAATTAAATGAGAGACTGTATAAAGTTTCTATTAACAACAGCTGCCTAAAGCAGATAATGTATTACAACATGATGTTAAAAACAAAATGGATAGGTAGTATCACAAAGTTTCTATACTTGTACCTGCATTTGTGTTTGGAATCACATTATTACCTCGTACATTTATAATTTTCATGGGCTAATTAGAACCATTAGCATTGAGCAAACTTCAGAATTGATTTGTTTATGCCAAGACAAAGCTGGATGATAGCACAGCACAGACAGTGAACTAAAATTTCAACTTATTTTGAATCCAGGTAAATGATGAGAACACTTAAGTCATCTCCACTTAGCAAGGAATACAAGCAGCTTGCTACACTCACTGATTCAGTTGGATTTCCATATGGCGGAAAAAGTGTCCTGATCCCTATTTCATACCATACGCATACACAAAAAATCAATTCTAGATAAGTTATAGATCTAAATGCTAAATGTGAATGGCAAAAAAACATTTTCATGACCCTGGAGTAGGCAATTTCTTAAGCAGTTCACAAAAGTAACCATAAATAATAAAAATTTAAATTAGAGTATATTAAGAAGGTTTGTTCATCAAAACATACTAAAGAGTGAATAAACAATGGGAGAGACTATTCACAATGTTATTTGACAAAGGACCCGTAATTGGTAATAAAAATGAGCAAACAACTGTACAGAAACCTCACCTAACAGAGTATCAAATGGCCAGTGAACACATGGAAATGGAGAATGCAAAGAACCCAAATGCTCATAAGCTGTACAATGGAAAGAAAAATGCTCCTAAGTGTATAATAGTAATATATCAAAACAGAATAATATTACAGCAATGGGAAATGAATGATCAGCTACTCACAGCAATGTTGCTGAATCTCATGTGGAATAAAAGCCAGATGAAAGAATTCATTTCTAAAGTAAAAATTCAGCCAGAACTATTCTGTGTTGTTAAACGTCAGGATAGCGATTATAGGGAGTTGCAGAGTGCGTGACTGGAACCAGGCACTTGGGTAGCCTTCTGGGGTGATGATAATGATTCATCTGGATGCTCTTTGCATGGATGAATAGACCTTGCCAAAATGTATCAAGCAGTACAATTATTTTGCATTATACTATGTGTATACACAAGGAAGCATGAATTGCAAAGAACAAGATGAAACTTTAGGGATTATGGATACATTCATTATTTTAATTGTAGGATGACTTCACAGATACAGACATGTCAAAGCTCATCAAAGTGCACACTTTATGTGCACCTCACTGTACATTACTTATTTTCTCAGTAAAGCCATTAAAAAGTTTTTAATCCTCTCCAACAGCACCATTTATGTTTGAGTTTTAGAAATGTAACTTCAG